ATAATAATCTGTTTCCAGAATGTGCTTCCATCTGTTTTTCGTGTCCTGGTGCTTGTATTTAATAACACCACAGCGCGACGACTGTAAAAGTTTATAACACAGTTTCCTAATTTATTATTATGGTTGTTAGTAGTAGCGTTAGCATTAGTATTATTTGTTTATGTTACCAAAACGTTCCTCGTGCGGCTCATCTCAGTTGGGTCCTTGATCGACCGTGTGACTTTGTGTAGATCCCAGATGAACTGTTTAGAAGCCAAGGTCGACCACAGTAACTCTTCTCGGGGCTTTTTCCTCTTTTCACACTGTGGAAGTGGAAATGTTCACTGCCCTCGTAGAGACGGTGATGTCATCCAACAGGAAGAGAAGGGTTTTGTATGACTCGATGTTTTTTCTTGTTTTAGTAGATTCTCCTCCTCTGGGAATCCAGAGGATATTCAGATAATGACAGGATGTGACCCCTCACATCCCAGCCCCCCAGATTTTCACACCATCTCCTCCACGTTAGCTGTCTACAGTGTAGATATTTTTAAAGTGTGGTATAAACAGCAAAAAAAAAAAAAGTCATGACATTTTTTTTAAATTTCCACCCAAACAATCCTCTCCAATTTTTAAGTTGTTGATTATTATCATTATATTATAGTATGTAACAGTTGTATGCTCCATTTCCTTTTAATGCAAAACTGTAATTTATTATATTATATATACAGTACTGCTACAGTACTGGGACCAAACCTGCCTAGCTACCTCGAATTTTATGGTATCAAGTCCTAAGCAGGAACTTTACCGGGAACTTAGTCGATGACAAGACTGACAATTTAAAGGGTTTAGGATAAAGACAAAACCAAACGTAAGAGACTAGAATCAAAAAGAGACAAGGGATTGATAGGATTTAAGCCCAAAAAGGTGCTGCGACCTTTAGTAACCAGGACAGAACCTTTAAATTATACATCATATGGACCTCAGTTTTGACCCTCCCTGTACTCAGGAGTACAAATGGCGGGAGCTGGAGGAGCAACGTCAGGCTCAGAAGCTCCAGAAACAGCTGCAGCAGGAACAGGCCTACCTGCTGTCACTCCAGCAAAACCCAAATCTGGACGCTAGCAAAACAGCTAGCCTCAAATCCCTACAGGACCACGAACCTGGGAAAGTAAATCCCCCACAGACCCCTGGCCTGGACACAACCGCAGCGCCTTCGTCCAAACCAGGGCAGAGTTTTGACTCTGAGAAGACACGGTCTGGTCAGAGTCTGGAGAAAACTAAAGATGCCGCGCTTCCTGTCAAGGACCTCCAAGGCTCCACCCCTGACTCTGAGTCTGTCAGAGAGGTGAACCTGCAGCTCCACGCTGTTAACACTGACCGCTATAGAAACTCTTCCTCTTGCTTGTGTGTCCTCACTGCTTGAGGTTTGCTGTGTGTCTGACGCTGGTGCTGGTGTGAGTTCTAATGTGTTGCCGTTTTTTCCAGTCAAAAAATTCAAACTGTAGATTAGGTGTTGATTCTCCCTTGTCATTGGTTGAATCAGGGGTCCTGGTGTGTATGTACACGTGACAAATCTGACTTAATTTCAGATTTGATATATTTCAACTATACACGATACTCCAGTTAAATACTGAAACGTTCCAATCCAGCGTCTTAATACTGTAAAATGGCTTTTTTTTTTTAACCTGCGCACCGATCACTGTTTGGATTTTCCCACCACAGATCATTGACTCACTGCCCTCATAGGTGTTTTTTTTAAAAGCAGTTTAAAGGTATTTTAGATCAGGGACGAAAACACGCAATTTCATGTTTCAAGTTTTAGCAAGTTAATAAACAAAGTGTTTAATTCACCTTTTCTTAATTTTTTTCAATATTATTTAAAACATCTCAAATGTCGACAGAATCGGTTCGTAGAATTTTGGATTATTACAGAAATATGACTTGAAGTAGACTTGGTAGTCTTGGTATCAGTACTCTTTATCAGCGAGTACACATATGAAAACAAATGTACTCGTATGGTTGGGTACAACTCTAGTTTTTCTTCGTGACCTGGGTCTGCCTTCTTACCTTTGTCTTCCCTCTCAGAAAATGTTTCTCACACAAAAACTGCATGACTTCCATCACTGGTGGCGGTGGTGTGATTTTACTAGCAGCATTGTGGAATTTTTGGCATCGGTGTCACTGCTGCCTCTCTCTTCCTGTTGTTAAAACGTGTGCTTTTACTCCTGCACGTAGGAAAAATGTCTGCTCTTCGGTCAAAACTAACAAACCTTCAGTGTTGGAGCGCTTCTTCGCACTGACATTTCTAATGTTCTGATTGATGCAAACTGACGCGTGCGTTCAGGATCGCGTCTACAAACTTTACTGTCGTTTTGTGCACTTCCGTAGGCTGATGAGCGATACAGGAAGAATGTCCAAGGTTCGCCTCAGTCAGCTCCAACCAAACCCCAGCAGTCGGCTCCAACCAAACCCCAGCAGTCGGCTCCAACCAAACCCCAGCAGCCACCAGTGCCGCCAAGGTCTGAGTCTTCCTACCCCAACGGAAACTCGGCTTCGGAGGCGCCTGCCATGCATCGACCCGTGGATCCTCAGGTAACCACGATGACCTCAAACCTTTTTTCTCCACACACTTTACTATAACAGACACTGTGCACAGCTGGGTAAAAATGTTTTTTTACAAGGCTTGTTTTTCACCTTCACACAGTCCAGATTCAACAGATACACCTCTTGTTGAAAATACATTACAGTGACTGTTAACTGTTTCATAGCAAAAACAGCCCTGGCACTTGATTTTGTTCATGGTCTGAGCTGCAGAAGTGCTGTCATATCCTGGTAGTGTCAGGAACTGTTGGTACTAATCCTTGTGTTGGCTGTTACTTCTGCCTCTGAAATAATTTCTGCTCATCACTTTACCTTCAGGTCATCACTTAGGTCAGGGTTTCCCAATCTCTTTTGAGCCACGGCACGTATTATAAAACAAAAAACACAAGTATACATAATGAAATAAAATAATCAATTTATTCACAAATGACTTGCTTGGGCCTGTTTAGTTGAACACCACACTGATTAACTCAGGAGTTGAAGACAGACGTCTGCAAAGAGCTTCTTCAACAGCTCTTAGGCTCTCCCTTTTTTAAACTTTTTATAACCATCTGCTGCCATCTAGTGGAAGAGTATTTAACTGCTACATCTGTCACTGTTGAATAGACAAACAAAAAAATATTATTTGTTGTAATAATGTAATGTGCCGCAGCCCAGCAGCTGGGAAACCCTGATTTAGGTCATGTTTTGTCTGATCACATCTTTATTAAGAAACCTGTTTCAACTTCATTTCCGACTCTCTTTGCTGTGATTTTCCTCCGTACTGACCTGAAGTTTCTTGCTCAGCTCTCTTAGGATCTCTCGTGGACCATGGTTTCTCTGGGTGCCTTATATCAGTGCAATTATTTAAAGTCTCTGACCCGGTGATGTGTTTTTGTGTTTAAGAGTTGTCGCAATGAAAACATAAAAAAAGCACAATGATGATTATATACTCTTCATAGATGACTAACCTTTTAATTGACAGGTTCCTCCTCTACCTGGAATTATTGCTGAGTCACTTCATGTTTCAAAGAATGTTGTGTAGATGTGAATCCGGTGACAATGAGCCTAAATAATCACCGGGCAGTCAAGGGAATCTGTTTTCATAGATTTGTTACGCATAATTTCATCATGCAAAAATGAAACTGTGATGTACAGTATTCCAACGAGGGTTTCAAGAGGGCAATGGGAGCTAATAAGCCTCATTAGCTTGAAGTTGTCAGGTCATATTGGATTTAGGTAGATTCATTTTTGAAACATCGATTCTGATCCACATCATTAATATTAGATTCATTCCTTAATTTCACTCATGAGTTTTGCATGTAACTTTTAACCTTTTGACCTTCTGCGTGGTGTGCTGCGTTAATTTAGTTTACCTTTAATTTAAAAATATTTGTTTAAAGTTTTCCGCACTATTTTAAGGATTTATATGGGTTATTATTATTATTATTTTTGTTTGTTTTTACAATTCGTAAGCCTGGTAATTGTGTACGGTTATTAGTATATCAGTCATTACAGTATTCTTGAGCCTCAATTTATAAACGTCCATAAAAGTACTCACAGGCGTCCGATCAAAAGAAGCTACAATTTACAGATGTTCTCTAAATTCCTCACTTGGTGAGGTCGATAGTAGCTCGGCAGCTGGTCAAGGAGCTTTTATTCTCACTGTTACTGTTACTAAAAATTAAGAGTTTAGTTAGGTTAAGGTTCAGTTTATAGGTAAAGATTTCTTTATTTTTTTTAAATTATTTTTATCCAGGGTCACTCTCTGAAGAAGTTATAATTAGGGCAGTTATTTAATTAAAAAAATTATCAAAGTGTAGCTGTGGATTAACCAGGTTTATGATTGGTCAGCAGTAGGTTTATTTACTGCCTTGCGCTCGTTGAGGCCGGTCTGAAATATCTGATCGGAAGTTGAGGAATTTAAATAAATTATAATCCCATTTGGCGGAAAATAGATGATTTGAAAGTGGAAGGTAACTGACAAAAACTACTTTACAGTAGGTTAAACTGCATATTATTTTGACTCCTACTTATCGAGTTTTGCATGCTAACTGACCCTCACACCCCTCCTCCATACCCTTCACTGTGGTTTTTTTTTTTTGTCATCTGCAAGGTCCGCTCACAAGTGGCTGCTCTTAAAAGCAGCAACACTGTGACCTCAAACTCCTGCGCCACCGTGCCACCCGCCATGTCTCGCTCGCACTCCCTCAGCGAGCCACTTGCCTCTAGCTTTGAAAACCTCCACCTTCGCAACAACCATGAACCCCACCAACACCATCATTACCTTCCATCTTCATCCTCATCTCCATCCTCATCATCATCATCAATCACGCCTGCACGCACTGAACCCCAACCCCACCACCACCACCACCCTCAGGCTAGACCCTCACTGTCAGAGGAGGGTCCACCCAGGGTAAGAATAGGAAGTCAGAGTGTAATTAGTGAAGGTCAAAGGTCTTTGACAGTGGGTCTGCTGAGCTACTGTAGCCTGGTCGTGACATTTTTAAAAAAATATATATTGTGCCTGTTAAAAATTAACTAAGTGTTTTGAACTGTTTGAAATGCTTTTAAAAGCAAACTCACAGTTTTTCAGAAAGAAAATACTTTACTTTCTGACCGGGACATTTTTGTCCTCCGCCTCTTAATTATTTTTACAGATTCACCAATTCTTCCTGTTCTTTAGAAAATATTTCCAATTAAATAAATAGGTAAAATCAATGGATGGTTTTATCAGACATGAAAAAAAATTAACACTAAAACATATGGTATGGCACAAGAGCTGAAAAAGACAAGATGGACAAGGAGAGGGGCTAGCATCATTTTAACCTTTAAAAACGTTGGAGGAGCATGTAACGTAAAGAGTGGACTGACATGTCTTTAATATTTGTGTCTGTCTTTGTATCTTTGCTGCTACTTCTTATCTCCTTGTCCCTACTTTGAAATAATAAAGGCTAACTCAAAATGTAATTACGAGGTTTTGGCAACAAAATAATCGATTGGAAAAACCTGTACCGTCTATAATGAAGAACAAAAACAATACTTAATTTTTCTTCATCAGATATCAGTGAGCATAAATGCTGTTTAAATACAATATTAAAACATTGGTGTTGGTGGTTGACAGTAGTGCGGTCGTGATGGTGCCGACGTGGAAGCTGTTGCAAAAAGAGTTCCGATTTTCCGGAATGTTTTCCTCCTGTGCATTGTGTGTTTTATATAAGCTGGTCACTGTCTTTTATCAAAAAGGTTCCTGTCAGGACAACATCCAGATCTCCAGTGCTGTCGAGGCGAGACTCGCCTCAACATATCAGCAACACGCCACACAGTGGCCATGCTGTGCACCGCAGGTAAAATCACCCTGGAGAGTTCTGACTCGATAGTGGCCATGCTGTGCACCGCAGGTAAATTCACCCTGGAGAGTTCTGACTCGATTAAGTGCAACTGAGTTTTATTTTTGTTTTTATGAAAAACATAAAAACCATCACACATATACCATCACATATATATCTATCTATATATGCGTGTATGGATGTATATATTTTATGTATATATTGTTATTTGAACACACTACAGAAAATATGTTTTTGTTTCACCAAGCATTTAGAAGCAATTTCGTTAACATTTACGTAATACCCCTTTGTTGCTCTCCGTTTTTAATGCTGATGTGGAAAACAGGATTGGAGACCCAATTTTGAAATCAGACCATCTGAAATTAGACTGGGGCAGTGGTGGATTAGTGGTTAAGGAAGCGGACCTAAACCAAAGGTTTCAGGTTTGAGTCCACCAGCTGCCAAGTTACCACTGAGGTGCTCTGAGCATGGCACCATCCCCACACACTGCAGAGGTCACATTTGGTTGTGTCTGTGTCACAATGACAAGTAGTTCACTTTCCTTTCCGTCCTTATCTACTGTATCAAATTTCTAATTCTTAAATAGAAAACTCTCACATTTAAACCTGTTAAATTAATTGAAGCCTTACTTGACTTCCTTTAAGGACCTGGGATTTCTTAATAACTGGTGGCTTCATAAGATGTTAAGTTATAATCTGATAGCTATTGATCATGGAAGTTCAAAAGAAGTACAAGAATGTCCAATTAGAAACTGGCTCATTACCTAACGTCATCGAAAATAAGACATTTTTGAAACACATCCTAGCAAAATACGCCGTGAAAATGTTGGTGCGTCTCTTCTTGTGTTTTTTTTTTTGGTTAACTCTTGTCGTCGTTTGACTCTGCAGCACAGCGGAGCCTCGTCTGCTGTGGGAGCGAGTGGAGAAACGTGTTCCCAGACCAACCAGTAACAACGGAAGTGGAGGTTCCAGTTCCTCCAGCAGCTCCAGCAACTCTAGTTCTCAGACTGGTTCTCACTGTGGTTCTGGAGAGAGGTTCAGGGCTCGCTGTGAGTTCTCTCTCTAAAAACGCTGTAATCACCTCATATTAAAAAAAAAAAAAAAAAAAAAAGAAACTGACGGTTTCACCTCCGCCTTCCTATAGCTTCCTCCAAATCGGAGGGTTCACCCCTTCAACGTCCAGAGAATTCTGGGAAAAAAGCAGAGGAAAGGAAGGACCTGGTCAGGCCAGGCAGACCTGCGGTGAGAGAGTAGGAGCGTTGCTGCTCACTAGCTGCAAAATCTAGATGTAGATGGAGAAGGTTGTGAGTGAAAATGGTAACAACTGATCCAACGTTAGAGCTTTTTGTGTTTCCTACTGATGTGGTCTTGCATTTTTGTCTGTGCGTGTGTGAGAAAATAACCAACCTGCAGTATGACTTCTCAAAATCATAACTCTCTTTTCTGGCTCATGTTGCTGCCTTGCTTCTACTGCACTGGTACATCCAGCTCCATAAAAGTTATTTTATTTTAACACATTTCTCCTCTAACCTCAGCAAGAATTCCCGCTGTCTTTAAATCTTTTTCAACTTGCAGCTTCAGATATCGTCTCATTTTCTAAATTAATCCACTAACTGCATCAACAGAAGAGCATCGGCTGATCTTCTTTCTCTGCATCTTCCGGCTTCCCTGCTCTCACGTTGGCTTCTCATTGGCTAGTTCCCTTCCTCTAACCACTCCTCTTCTCCTGCAGCGTTTCCTTCTCGCTCTCAAAGAACAGAGAATCTCGTGATCACGGTCACCAAGTGAAAAAGGGACTTAAGAAAAAAGAATATAAATGACAGATTTCTTTTTTTTCTTCCCCTTGACTTTCAGGATCTAACAGCTCTGGCCAAGGAGCTGAGAGCTGTGGATGACGTTCGCCCTCAGAATAAGGTGACAGATTATTCATCGTCTAGTGAAGAATCAGACACAACGGATGAAGACGATGATGAGGAGGTGGATCAGGAGGCTGGCGAAGAGTCCACCTCTGGTCCAGAGGACACCAAAGCAGTGTATGTGACTTTCTATTCCCACCCAGTAACATGGGTCTGTAAAAACTGCTGAATATCTAAATGTGTCTCACGGCTCTTTCAGACTGAGCAATGGTGAAACTGAGTCGGTAAAAACCATGATCGTGCACGATGAAGGCGAGAGCGACAAGGGGTCAACGCCCTGCAAGGACAGCACTCTGATTGTCAGACAGGTACAACCGAGAGGAAGGCACTCCACAGTGTCTCACCAAATATCTGTTTTCTGTTGACTTTTTTAATTTTTTTATTTCATTGAATTTTACCATTATTTTATTTCTTCCCTTTTCCTGCATTGCACTGTTCATTCTTCTGTTATTGCATATTTGTTTAATTTGTGTGTAGCGTAAACAAAGATACACCCGGCACAGGTCGGAACTTAACCTTTCTAGTTTTAATACTTACATATGGACACGTGAACTAGTGTATCTTGAACGCCAGGCTAATATGGAGATCTGAAGGTATTACAGTGAAGTAAGTTGATTAGGGGAAACTTAATGACTTTGGAGTGGGAAGTCGGGAGTGACAAGGTGGTACCAAGAAATATATGCTATATTATGTATATAATATGTGGTAAACAAACAAAATAGGCTGAGGTTTTCTTTGGATTTGACCAGAATGGAGATGATCGGAAGCTAGCAGCTAGCAGAGGAACTACTACAATTGAATTGACTTTGGCCTAGGGGCCGTATACAGACTAATTAGATGTCAAGTGGGCCGAACCAGTACAATCATAACATAATTATAATAATTAGTATAAACAGCACTAAGTCCATGTTTTTCCCCTTGCAAAGTACGTTAGTATATTAGATACATTATCATATTTAATTAATTATAATTTCACTAATCATATTAGGAACCTGGAGTGTTTGTGTATATTTTTATTTTATAAAAAATTAATCAAGTGGGCCGGATTGATCCCCCTTAGCGAGCCGGTTTTGGTCCGCGGGCTGTATGTTTGACACCCCTGCTGTAGATGTAGAAGTTAAGTTTCAAGTTAAGGTGGTTTTGACAGTAGAGAAAGTAAAGGATGTGGTGAGAAGATCTCTTGTGGAGACCCGCCAAGGAACACATGAAGGAAAACATGGTCGTTTTAACATCGTACAGTTTGTATAAGCAGAGAAAGTCCTCACTTGCTACTAACCAGACTTTTTTGTCCGTCTGTAGAGTAGCCACGGTAGTGTCCCCCGCTCTTTAGCTAATACTTTCCCTTCCGCTGAACTCCTCAGAAACACATCTAGACCCAAAGTTCTCTACCCCTCTTTCAACCTACAGAGTTCAGGTGACAACAGAAAGCGTACGGGCCCCAGCCTGGGCCAAACACAGATCCCCGGCCTGCTCACAAACTTTCTTCCGAGCCCCGGCTCGGGACCAGTCCCCGGTCTTGTCCACCACACACCCAGCCCCCACCACAACCATCATCATCCCCACCACCTTCACCATCACCACACCACAACACAGCCTGTGGACAGAAACGGCTTTGCTGGCCGCATCCACCACCTCCCTGACCTGATCCAGCAGAGCCACCATTCCACACCCTCCTCCTCTACATCCAACTCCCCCTCCTCCTCCAGCCTCGTCAGTCCATCCTCCATGTCCCCACAGAGTCCACTGGAAAAGCTCAGCATCCTCACAGAGGTATGTCCTGCAGACCCAACATGGGCTGCTTAGGGCTGAGGTTTCTTCTGCTGAAAACGTCTCTGTTGAAAAATCTGAATCATCTTTAACTCGGAGTGAAGTAGAGCGTAGTCAATTTACAATATTTCTCATCAGTCATTTTACCTATTTTCCCCAGAGGCCAATTTTGGTTTTACACATACAGAGAGTAGACATATAAAGAGGGCAGTTAAAGGCGGTAAGACAACTGCAGGTAAACTCTCATCAGATTACTTTAGTAGTTTTTCACATCTGGTATCATCAGTTTTTACCATCCACATTATTTTGACCTTTTTCCCCCCTTAATTTTTATCAGTATTTTAAGTTTGCATGTACCACAAAAACCTCAGTTTGTTCAGATGTCTTCTTATTGTTTCTATCATTTTTTTTTTCTCATGTTACACATTTAGTACATGGTTCGATGATATTTTGTCATGACTGAATCTTATTCCTTCTTATTCCTTCTGTATAAAGAGCCAGTCCAGTAACAACATGCAGAAACACAAGTCTTCTTCCTCCTTCACACCTTTCATCGACCCCCGTCTTCTGCAGGTCTCTCCGTCCACTGGCAGCGCCCTCAACAATGTTGGTAGGTTTGTTTTTGTTTGTTTTTACAAAATGGTTTCTAAAAGAAAAACATTTCCAAATTCCACTGATGCTTATAAAAATATATTTAAAATATAAATATATTTTTTAATTAATCTTTATTATAAACCATAAATTGAAAATTGCAACTTAACTATCTTCTACTCATTTAACAATAGAAAAGTTCAAGAAAAACAATGTTGTTTTAATTCTGACCATGTGATTGACCACCAAATTCTACGTCCAACTCCGTCCTCCCTAAGCCCTTCCCTCTGATCTTCTAGGCTACGCCAACGACGCCCGGCTGGCAGAGGCTCTGAGGGCTGATCCATCTCGTAAAGGCTCAGTGGTCAATGTCAACCCGGTCAACACTCGCCCACAGAGCGACACACCAGAGATCCGCAAATACAAGAAGAGGTTCAACTCAGAGATCCTGTGTGCTGCTCTCTGGGGTAACAACAAAGACATTGGCTGTGTTTGAAAATCTTAAATCGCAAAATAGGGAAAGTGCTTTTTGTGTTTGAAAATCTTAAATCGCAAAATGGGGAAAGTGTTTTGTACAAAATTTTATTGTTTCTATCATATACATTTATATACATGTACATATATGTATGTGTATATATGTATGTATGTGTGTATATATATATATGTATGTATGTATGTATATATGTGTATATGTGTATATATGTAAATTATGCTGTTGAATGTTTCAAAACAAAGATACATGGAAACAATTGATCATTTGATATTTTAAAACAATTTGTTCCCGTTTTTTATTAATTTTTTTCCTACATTGTTTTCATTCTTTCCAATTCCACCATCTAGTGTTCAATATGAAAAACAATATATTCTAATATAATAACAAATAATCCAATCCTCAAAAGTAATTCCACTCTTCACCGTTAGGTGGCGGCAAAACCCTGAGAATTCTACATTCTGTTTCTGGTCTGTGCCCAGTGACTGTTTTTCCACGTGTTTTCCTTAATGTATGTGTATGTGTGTTTGTAGGTGTGAACCTCTTAGTGGGAACAGAGAGTGGTCTGATGCTGTTGGACCGCAGCGGTCAGGGAAAGGTCTACCCTCTGATCAACCGAAGGCGCTTCCAGCAGATGGACGTCCTGGAGGGACTCAACGTCTTGGTCACTATATCAGGTACAATTTAATGGTTTAGTTTTTGGATCACATTAATATATATTCATCTATAGTCATATATAAATATATGTATACATACACTCCTTCACAGTTTAAGTCACAGTTTTGTTTTCCAATCCTTTGCGTCTAAGAACACTTTAACATGGGCTGAGTGAATGTTCTTGTAAAGTGTCTTAAACTTGTGTTCGTTCTGGGAATTTGCTTTATTTTCAAATTTACCATGGACTTATTCTTCTTTCACCTCGATAGCGCCAAACCAAAAAGTTGTCCAAAATATCTGCCTAAACCTGGCGTTCTTTCTTCTGCTTCTGAATATTTAAGTTTTCAATCGAAGAAAATTGAAATCAATTTAGGTGACAGTATCTCCGCCTCGTCTGTTTCTTGCTGTGTGGCGTTCATGTTGTTGCTGTCAAAAATGTGATCGGCTCTAAAGGTCAATGTGGAGGCATGAAGTCGACTAGTTAATTAGTCTGTACACCCCCTAGTACAAACACGTGCATGCACATGCACACACAATACGGTGAGCCTCGTGTTTAAACTTTAAGATGACCTTCATGGGGTTGAGTTGAAAGGAAGTAAACACTTCACTAAACACTAAAGCCTGCAGTTTACCGGCATCAATATTGACATCTTCTTCTTTCACACAGCTGAACCTATCAGACTGAAAGTGTATCTTCAGACTTACTTCTGCTCTTTCTCAATTCACACCCACACACAAAAACACACTCAGACACCAAAGTGTCACAACAGAGGCTTTTGACTGAAGCGGATATTGGGTAAATCTCCTCGTGCCACCACATTTTATTGTCTTGCGTGTGTGATATGTACGTTGACAACATGTAAAAAAAAAATGCGTCATGGAAAGTTGTACCATTAAGGTGAGAGAGGATGACAGAAGTGTTGATGAAGCGCATTTGTTATAGAGTGGAGAGCGTAAAATGCATGAGTAAGTTGTTCTTTTAATTCCGTTGACGTTTATGCATTTAGCAGAGTTACGAATCGAACCTGGAACTTTCTGCTCTCTGCCTCCGAGGCAGGCGTGCTAAGCACTACACTGTGGAACCACATATTCCCATTTATTCCCACACTATTCATGACTTAAAAAAACCTTAAAAATAAGGGGAAAGAATTACCTAAATGTGTTGTATTTTTTGTTAAATAAAAAAAAATAGAGAATAAGTGGCTTTGGTCAGTATTGTAAAACGTTTCCTGATTTGTCGGCAGGTAAAAAGAACAAGCTTCGTGTTTATTATCTGTCCTGGCTGAGGAACAAGATCCTGCACAATGATCCTGAAGTGGAGAAGAAACAAGGCTGGACCACCGTAGGAGACCTGGAGGGTTGCGTCCACTACAACGTTGGTAGGTCGTACTTTGAATCCTTCGTTATTCTCTTTGTCACAAACACAAAGAACACAAAGAATACTGGTGGTCCATGGCGAATTGAAGAATTCTATTCCTGTGGTGTGTCGTAACTTGTTTTTCACCACAAGTGGGAACTCAGTACACGCTAACACAGTAATAACATCATGATCTAGGACAGGGGTGTCAAACTAATTTTCACTGGGCCACATCAATTCCCCTTCAAGGGCTGGTTGTAAACAGTAAACTGTATAGATGGAACTACCCCATAACGTATTAATAAATGTTTCTCCAATTGATTGTTATTTATATAAGTTACAAACATAGTTCATTGCTCCGTGTAATAAAAAAAACCCTTTAAATTGTTTAGGTTAAGAATCTCAGCTCCATGATCTCTATTAAATATTTTTTTAAACTTCCGACGGCCATACAAAATGACTTGGCGGGCCACATTTGGCCCCCGGGCCTTGAGTTTGACACGTGATCTCGAAAAAAAAAAAACCTCAGAAGAGTCTGACAAACAAAAGTAAGTGAATGTAGCACAGTCAAATGTATGGCGTACAGCCGGCGAATGTAAACGAAGCTGTCTTCATCTGCGTGTAGCACCGCTTGACGACATACTCGTCTGCTCATCTCGCAAACTAGTTCGCCAGAGATGGCAACATAACCGAAACTCTGCAGGACGTACAGTTTATTAATAGTCTTGTCCTTAAGTTAACAGGTTATTTCCCCAAATTTATGTAAAATGCACTAGACATGAGTCAAAGTTTCCAAAACATATTTCGCCAGACGATAAACAGACTGCTGATATTGGTTACCGAACATCAGTTTGATCTGTGGTCAGGATTCCCTGTAGCGTGGAGGTGTATGATGTCATCAGGTTCTACGTTTCTCATCAACATACCATGCCAATAACGCTGTCGGTGTAGTAAATATGGAAAGTATGGCCTCTGTTAGGTAACACTGCACTAAGTTTGAATGGACATGTTAAAGGGTTCTGTCTAAAGTCTAGAATGTCCTGGGTGACGGTTGAGCCACTGAGCAGAGAAGAGCACTTCCTGTTGGAAACTCCTCTCCACGGCTTCGACGCCTTCCGTCATGACTTCTGTTTCCTGTCCAGGACTTTTCTTCAAGTGTATTTCAGCCAGACGTTCATTTAAAACAAACTGTAAATTGGTGGTAATGAAACCATTGCAGTAAATGAACCCATGACAGTTAAAACCATTTGATCACAAAGCCTTTGAGGACATCCGTCATCAGATTTCTGATCCGTCTCTTATGAAGATTTACCCGACTGTTGTAAAACCGAATCACAGTTAAATTTTCTTTTTAATTTTCTCTTCACCAGTGAAATACGAGAGAATCAAGTTCTTGGTTCTGGCTCTGAAGAACTCAGTTGAGGTCTATGCCTGGGCACCAAAGCCCTACCACAAGTTTATGGCCTTCAAGGTGAGAATGTATAAAAATGATCAGTGTGAAGTGAGTTGATATTCAATAATAATAACCCGTTATTATAACCTTTATCTTCTCTCTTGTTCTACAGTCTTTTGGTGACCTGGTTCACAAACCCCTGCTGGTTGACCTGACTGTGGAGGAGGGTCAGAGGCTAAAGGTCATCTATGGCTCATGCTCAGGCTTCCACGCCGTGGACGTCGACTCCGGTGCCGTCTACGACATCTACCTGCCCACTCATGTGAGAAGGCACAGCAGTGAACCACAGCTTATGTCAGTGATGCTGATAAACTCTTTGGTATTTTTTTTTTTTTTCTCGTTTGCAGATCCAAACTAGTATTCAGCCTCACGCCATCATCATCCTGCCCAACACCGACGGCATCGAGCTGTTGGTGTGCTACGAGGATGAGGGCGTATATGTCAACACCTACGGACGCATTACCAAGGACGTGGTGCTGCAGTGGGGGGAGATGCCCACATCAGTGGGTGAGTCTTGTGAAAGTTCTTCTTAAGGAGCAGTTCTATTTCTAACATTTATAGCGGTGGAGATTATATGTTGTGTTTGTTCTTTTCTCCAGCCTACATTCGTTCCAACCAGATCATGGGTTGGGGAGAGAAGGCCATCGAGATCCGCTCAGTGGAGACTGGACACTTGGACGGAGTCTTCATGCACAAGAGAGCCCAGAGACTCAAGTTCCTCTGTGAGAGAAATGATAAGGTGAGCGTGCGCTCTGCTTCGGTTTCACTTAAACTAGGGAACGCCCTGAAGCTGCAGCGTCTTTGGGAGTTGTACTTTTTCCTCCGTGGGTTTTCTTCCTCTGTAAAAAAAAAAATTCTGGGTGAGTTTAGATTTAATTAGTGTAAATATATTTCATTCTCATTGGTGACCTTTAAGGGGGAACATTTCAATCTTTTATTGGCTTAATTAGTTATTTTGCATATGTAGGGAGTCCTCGACTTCCATCGGAGTTCCGTTCCTATGATGCGACGTAACTTGATTTTTGCCGTAAGTTGGAACTCTTATACTGTGCATCAGTACCTATGTCACCCATCTACGCTAACACAGTGGTAACATCATTAGTCTAGGTCATGCAAACATCAGAAGAGTCTGACTAATGCCTGGGAGCCATAATGAAGGGCAAACAGTTCCCACAAAACAACACAAACTGAAGAATGTAGCACAATCTTCCACATATAGCTCCGCGAGACAACGTATTCGTCCGCTTGCCAGCTAGTTCCCGTGTGAAAATTGTTTTGATGCAGTACATCGACAGATGGAATAAGACTTTCTTATTAAATTTATGGTAGATGGCAATGTAACCACGAAACACCGTAGGTCAGTGACATCGTAAGCAGAATTATTAAGCACAATTATTTAGGTTTTAATGGTAAATTTTGCCCTGAGCTCCGAAATCATTTCTGACATTTGAATTAGCTTAGCACACAACCACACCTTAAAAAAAAAGTCAAACCCATCGCCTGAAGGACATTAGGTAGGAATGTGATCAGACCCAGCGGTAAACCCTCACTCTGTGGTTCCTCCTCAGGTGTTCTTCGCCTCCGTTCGCTCTGGAGGCTCCAGTCAGGTGTATTTCATGACTCTGGGTCGAAGCAACCTGCTCAGCTGGTAGAAGTCCAACACCCTCGTCCTGCTCCTCTTTCTTCCTCCTCCTCATCATCATCATACTACTCCTTGTCCTCCACCCTCACTAACACTGGATCCCAGAACCCGCTGTCAACCTCTTGTCAGCACTTCGACGACCAAAAACCGCGACGACCACTTTCTTTGGACTGACCGACAAACAGCAGCTTCGCCTTCTTCTCTGAACCTGCGTTGCCTCCAGGATGTGACATCATAAGTATATGTCCAAAATCTGTAGGTAATTATTGTGTGGAAGAAAGAAAAAAAATGTGAATTCAAGAAAGAATCGGGGGAAATATTGTTCTTTCATTTCCCCCGTTTTCTTTCTTGGTGCTCTTCTGTTTGAAGTTGGATAGATGTCTCACCTCGGCATTGTTTCCTGAGCTGATCACAAACCTTCAGCTACTACTACAAGTACTGGTACCACTATATTACTTCTACTTCTACTACCTTCTGCAGGTCTGCCTCTTGGTCAAAGAACTCCTCAGACTGAACATTCTTTCCCTGGGCCTTTTTACTTAGCTCCCTACGACAAGTCGACACGGCTGGAGTCTGTATCAATGCTAACGTGGTGTGTGCCGGTGTGTGTGTGTGTGCGCGGGTGTAATTGTTTTTATGTTTGGTCCAATCACTGCTGACTAACTGGGTCTAGTTGGAGACATTCGATTGAAGGCAGAATGTGTGACGTGGTCAGGGGTTAATGCTTAAGGTTTTGCTGTAAGTCAGTGGTTAAAACAGGATTGAACTGAAGGCTGAAACAAGTGTAGACAATGACAGAGAGAGAGAAAGCGAGAGAGAGAGAGAGAACGTGATGTTGAAGACGATGATGATGGAGTCAGAATTGTATTTTCCTGAAATATAACTAACTATTCCTTGGAAATTAGTGTAACTATGTGAAGTTCAACGTTACTTTTAAGTTCGACTTTTTTTTTTTTTTAAAAAACCACACAACCGTAGTTTACCGTTTGCCTGTGTTTTTGAGAAGACAGTGGCTGTGGTCCAGAATAAAAAGTTATCAAATTTAAAAAAAAAGAAAAAAATAGTGTCTATGTACAATTAAGTTACGCTTCCTGAAAGTGTTTGTTTTACTAATTGGCAAATTAACCTATAGGGGGCAAAACAGTAAGGGTGTTTTTATTAGAGGTTGATGTGAAATAACAGGGGTGGAAAAAAAATGTTAAGAAAATGGATGCAGTCGTTAGTGTGTTTTATGACTGTCGTTTTTTCCCCCCCAAAAAAATCAAATGACAAAATATTAATTGACAGTGTCATGATGAATCTGCGAAGATATGTTGTTAGGTTAGCCCGGCATTTTAAGGTAGTTCCTGCAGGGGGCGTGCCAAAGTGGGTGGCGAGTAATACTACCAATGTTAAAACAATGCATTTAGGTGCATTCACACCAAAGGGAAAACTTTTTTGGAAAGACATACGGACAGTGTCTCCGATTAAGTCGTCGCTCAATCCCATGAGCAAGAAACAACATTTAAAGTTCGCTGCTCACCACTTGTTACAATAACAGTCGAGAATTTGTTGTCAAAGCTTCTGGTGCTGGAAGTTCATGTTTGCCTGGTTGTTTCAGATTCCAGACTGTGTTGTGCACCTACAAAAAGGAAGGTTTAAGCTTTTCAGTAGCCTTGGCTTAAATCAGGAAGTACAAGTCTGTCCATATTCTAGATGCCAAATTAGACTCACGTCCCTCCTTTTGCTATGCAGACTTGATCTATTACACCGGATTTCAGATTATGTATTCTCAAATTCCAACTTTTCTTTTTCCATTTAAAAAGACATTTGAATTTTTGGAGAAAAAGGACAGATCTAAGGTTTGTGTGTGATCATGTAAGTTCAGTTCTGGCAAGTATTTTCAAGGCCGAAATGCAAGAATGTGTTTGAGGCAGTCTGTGTTTCTGCCCAGGAGGGGATGTTCTTTTTTTCGTTTCTATCAATCATCTCATTTTCACATCATGTCATTTTTTTTTTTTTTAATCTGTATTTTTTTTTATTTTTTATGAATGCACTTGGTGTCGAGAATGTAGAAAGACTATATAACTGTGTGCTGGTCCAAAGGCATGAGATGATGTTTTCTGTTTTGCTTTGTATCTTAGTCACAAGTGGTTAATTCTAGATGTTACGATTTTTACAGCCTCCGCGACAAATCCATGTTAGGTCAAAAGGTCATTTCCAGAATCTGAGGAAATGTTCAAGGAGGACACGAGGACTAGTTAAACTCTCACGGACTTTAGGATTTCAGTGTTACTGTAATAACGTGTCATAAAACAGAAAAGGTGGAGCAGAACGCCTCAGTCCACAGACAGCCTTTCTGTTGTTTTTAATTTTTTATTATTTAAGTTTTCTGTATATGTGAAAAAAAACTATCTAACGTGAACTGGGTCACAACTTTCCTGATTTTTTTTCTTTGTTTTTTTTTTTTGTTTGTTTGTTTTTTTTTTTTTTTTTTTTTTTTGTTTGTTTGTTGTTTTTTTTTTTTTTTGATCAGGCAGTGTTTGGGCACGCCTTCATGTACAGAGAAGCTGTCAGGACCCCAGTGATGTGTTTTTTGAGGTCTGTTCGGTGTTGTGTATTAACACATCAAGGATTTGATGAATAACGAATCAAATATTGTTATTAATGATGTAATAATTTATGATGTTCTAATTATCTGCGGTCCTGTTCACCAACGCCCGTCTCACCAGAAGTCCTCTTTTAAGGTTATGCATCAGTTTCCCGCCTTTAAAACATGGCGTCTCTTCAATGCAAATGGATAAGGTTCATCGTAAACCTGCACCGTGCATACGTAAGTCGTTGTTATTTCAACGGGAAATGCTTCCTGTGTCATTCAGAAGAACTGCCAATAGAGCCGTGTTCAGCTAATGTATGACGTACAAAAAACAAACTTGGACAGTTTTTAGGCCTAGTCAAGAGAATTCACTGTAGTTTTATTACTACTATTCCTGTACTTTCCTGTTCACATTAGACGGAGATGTTTACTGCAGCCGTGGTTTTTTTTAAACTTCACGCGTCTTCATTCGCATCGTCTGATTTTTCGATTTAGTTTTTGTCTTTAAGTCACACTAACACACAGACCAATAATAACGAAGAACACAGGTTTGTTCAGTTCAGGTTTTGACGTGACACGTGCTTCAGCAAACAATTTGAACGTGAGGCCACACACACACATATATATATAAATATATATTTTTTCCCTCTGCTGTTTCTGTCATGCTTCTCTCTAACTTATGTCTTCTCTGTGTATGACAGAAAGTCATGTATTTTCCTTGAGGCATTTTTCTTTAATTAAAGTTGAAAATTCTAATTATAAAAGACATGAGTTTTTTTGTTTGTTTTTAGCTATTTGCTGTTGGAATTTTGTTTGTTTGTTTGTTTACAACAGACTCAATTAACAAAACATAACAAAAGCCCATGTTACCTTTGGGAAAGCTTGACCCTTTTTATTTGTTTGTTTTAACCACACCAGAGGTCAAATGATTTGATGAGAGAATACTTTGTATCCAGCAGAATGTAAGACGATGAAGAATCTAGAAACCTAACTCTTCAGTTAAAGAGGAGGTTTGTGGTTTCTTTGGAGTTGGAATTCATTTCTGGTTTTCCTCCAACAGGAACGTCGGATGTCACCTGCTCTGATGAACATGTGTTCCCTCACGTCCTGCCTTGAGGACATTCGGGAGAGTTTGACATTTCATTATAATGTTAATAACGTTAATCTTATGTGGTATTTACTAATCCTGAGGTACAACTCGGATACTGTCACTTGTCGAGTAATCTGTGCTACTCCTTCATTTTGACAAATGTGGAGAGCTGTTAGCCAGCGTCTCAGTCGAAAATGTCATTATTATTGAAAAGATGAATAATGTGTGAAAATGTCGTTTTTGTTATCTCTCACTGTAAGAAGGAGGAGCCCTTTGTACAAGCTATTGAAACCAAACATATTGTTCTATAGCGGTTAGCACGCCTGCCTCTGAAGCAAAGAGCAATGAATCCTGGGTTTTATTCCCAGAGATATCACATGCTTTGCGCCTAATGGAGGTAGCCTGTTAACAGCATATCTGCTGCTAACACAACGATTTTATGATATAATATTCTGAGAAGCCACCTGCTGTCCATGTCATCAGAGGTGTTCCAGGTTAGAAGATTTAAACACGCCGGAAAGTTATTTCATACTGGTTCCTGCTGTGAATGGAATTTATGTCACCAAGTTGAGTTGTGACAGTTCTAGTGTCACAATGTCATAGAGAGGTGGACCAATAGGTCTGTGTCTGTGGCTGCTCCTGTTCCTGTGCTTCAAAAACCTCCATTGGATCCCATGTTATTCCTGCTCTTTCCTGTGTCGGTGGAGTCGCCGCACATTCCCCTTTCCTGGAGCTGAGTTGGAGAACAGACAAGTACACACCGTATGTGATTGTTTTACCAATGTTATTGGTGCAATTTATTAATGGTTTGCCCCTTTACTGTTCATTGCAGTGCAGTTTTATATGATTGGCAAATACTTCCTATTTGAGTTTGAAAATCCCAGATGTTTTTCAAATTTGAAATCCTGCTTTAGATCAACAGGAGAGAACGCTGCATAGGTTTAAAGTGCGGGTGGTCTGAAAAGCCCCCTATTGATTATTTCTTTGTGTCTGTGTGTTTATGTGTGTGTTTGAACTTAAACAGAGAGATGTCCACCACTGACGCAAGAGGCCGACTGATGTCAGAGGAACGACAGCCGTAAACAGATTTGTTTGTTTTTTTTCTAAAGATTGAACTTAGGGGGATATTTAAGAAGGGAAATGCCTGACAGGAGGATTTGTATAGCAGTACAGTATCTATGAGTATTTGTGTGTGTGTGTGTGTGTGTGTGTGTTTGTAGGAGGAGTCAGAATACACATCATACACGAGTGGTGAGCTGTACAGGACGCTGCGTTACATTGGGAAACCTGTGAAATTTCCACCCAAAGGGTGGGAATGTAGAAAAGACAGTGCAGTGTTCCCACTGAGGCCAACAGGACCTGAGCAAACGTCTCTGCAGCCTACTGCTGACCAGCCCTGACCTGTCCTGACCTGACCAGTACCTGCACACTTCCGTGAGTACATTTCACCTTTGTACATGCAACCTCGTGTTTGTTTTTCATTTTTATTTACATATTAGATAAGATAAGAAAAATGAGGTCAATTTAAAAAATGATCGCTGTGTACAGTTTGTGGTTGTAGTAGTACTGTGTATACACATAACAGCATAATATATGGAATCACGTTACCACTTTACGTATGAAGTAAATATGTTATTGTACACAGACAAATAATTTGACATACCGTTTACATTTACACACAGCACACAGCTATGGACATATACTTGTAGAATATTACATTACATTGCAATGCATTTAGCAGTCAGCTACAGTAAACATACAAAATACAAAAATACATAAATAATAATACATAGTTATAAATAATAAAACAATAGTAAAAGTACAGTTACAGTCAGAGTAATTATATAAGACATAGCTTTAAGATTTTTCTTCAGATTTGTTTATAAATAATATACATATATGTATGTATGTATGTGTACATATAAAAGTGTATATACACATATTGAAATATTAACTAAAATCAAATTTGAAATATGTGTATATTTTCATATTTTTTCTATTGAAACTAAGATGTTATTGTTCATTACCTTAGTCCAAAATAAGTACATGGAAACATACTGTACTAACAATAGTATTGTAAAATAGTATAATAAATAAATTAAAATATATTTACATAAAGTATTAAATGCATACATTTAGAAGTTTCACAGTTGATTTAAAACTGTGTTTCATCATTTGTGTAAATTATAGCTGGTTTAGTAATACTTTATGCAGTACATGGTTTGTCAGACCATGTGGTTTGGATTCACATTCCATATGTTTGCTTGTGATTTGTGTACATGGTACTATATTAAATATGGCCTAAATATTGTAGTACTGTATATAGATAGTTATATACATATTTCATATTTTGAATCAACATTTTTAGTTATCTTATTGATGTAACAGATCATAGTTATATATATTTTTAAATATTCAAATGTTACTTTGTCGTCCTTGTATCACAGTGTCTTTGTTTAGTTTACACTAAATCAGTTCTTTCTTTTTGTTTTTACTGCGCGATTAAATTTAAAGTAACTTTATTTTAAAGTAACGTTTTTTTTCCCAGTATTAATTTAATTATACCACATGCAGAAATCACCGCGTTGTTATGACTCAACCCCGCCCCTGCATATTTATGAATGGAATCGCACTTTGACGAAACTCTGAGAGAGAAATGTCATCAGGGAAAAAGGAATCACTTGCGTGTGTGTGCGCGCACTTGCGCGCGTGTGTCTGTGGTCAGCTGATCATGTGATAACAAGCCCAGAAGCAGAAGTGTAAAAAACAATATATTTTAGGTTTAGGTATTTTAGGTACTTTCTGAGTACTAAAACACCAAATGTTTATCAATGGCATGGATGGTATTGGACATTATATCATTTCATCCTTTTCTTATTGCTGTTATTATAATTATTGAGTCATATTCTGTGGGGAATATGACTCACCTGTGAACCCCACCGGTTGAAGTTAATGACAGGGAGGGGGCGTGACCAGTGACGCAACTGTTTACGGTTTAGTTTAAAAGGCCTGAAAATTCCAGCTGAATGTCAACAAAACACTGGCAGCTTTTAGAGGTGTCAAGACTTAGTGTTGACAGCAGCCGCAGCAGTTGTATTTCAGTGTCTACTGCTCTTGTGTCACACAGGCCAGTGTGTCGTTTGACTCCGAGACCCAGATTGACGTGCTCCTGCAGACTGTCATCATGGTCCTCTGGACTCTCGTGTATGCTGTGCTCATAGCTCATCACGTTACTGGACGACCCTCCTGGCTTCCTCCTCCGCCTGCGCTGCCTATGAGAGGTGAGGTTTTACACACAGAGTGACAGTACTGTAGTAATACTCTGTCTTGTCACAGTAAAACAGCATATCTTGTGTTTTCCCTCCCAGGCGACTGCTACGTTGCAGAGCCAGAGGTGGAGCTGTTCAGGGTGGAGGGTGAAGCCGTCATCCTCTCCTTTCCGTTGTTCAGGAGCACGCTCACGGCGCGGGACATCGCCCCTCCGGCCGCGGTGTACCTCATCACCAAAGACAACGGGACGGAGGGCGCGGCCTACCCGAGCAGCGGGCGTGTGCTACAGCGAAACAGAGAGCTGTGGCTCCTCCCAGCTCAGGCTTCAGACTCCGGAGAATACATCTGCACTTACAGGTAAACAAGTACATCTGGAGTACACTGAAGTACACGTCAAATAAGATGGTAAAACAAAATGTACCCACATGATATCTAGAAATCGCAGCAAATTAGCCAATATTGTTTATTTTATTTCGGTTCATGGGCCACATACAACATAATTAGATGCCAAGTGGGCCGGACCAGTACAATCATAACAATAACTAACAATAAGTCCATGTTTTCATCTTTGTTTTCATGCAAAGAAGTACAAGTATATTGTATATGTATTATTTTTTATCCATATTTAGTGAAATATAACTTTAAAAAATATCCTGAAGATGAAGTTTGGGTCTTTTTATATTTTTATTTATTTTTTATAGTGTATTGTTGAAATTCATCAAGTGGGCCGGATTGAACACCCTAGCGGACCGATTTTGGCCCGCGGGCTGTATGTTTGACACCCCGGTTTCTTATTTAGTGGAAAACCTTAAGATATAATTAATTAAAAAAAAAATAAAAAACCTTTCCTGTGTCTTTTATATTCACAGAAATGAAAGCTACTGCATCCGTGGCAGTATTACTCTGCAGGTGTACGAGTCCAGCTCTGTGGGCGTGGACAAACTGTCATATCCAATTTCAGCCACTGTGGGGGAGACACTGTCATTTAGGTGTCCCTCAGTGAGTCACTTCAACAGCACAGATGAAGTCATACACTGGTATAAGGTTAGAGGATTTTTTTTTACTTCCCTGCATGTGAATACTTCAATCTTAAATGTTTCAAAATATCATGATATTATATAATATTATTACGACTTTAACAGATAATGCTATACAATTGTATGGTAATTATTATAAATTTACAATTTTTTAATTTATAATTTTCATCTGTTTATTTATTTACCACTCTGTGTGGTAGCAAAGCAAACTGCTTATTGTCATGTACAAAATCCAATAGAAAAAAACATGGATTTGATGTCATGTGTTGACTGGTCCACTGCTTCCTCATGTGGTCAAATGTAAATGTAGTGATTAATCCAAACACAGTCATTTTAATTTCAAGGTCTTAAAATAGTTAGAGACCTTTATACTGGGTGACGGAGACAGCAGAGAGTCAACAACTATTTTAGTGCTCTGACAAAAAAAAATGATGATTTTCTCTATGGACACTGGTGTGGGAGAACAGACAACTTAAAAAGTAGCTAAATGTTTGTTTTTCCTTGACTTTTACTTTCATAATGTATGTATAGATGCACACAGGGTGTCGCCAGTGTGACATCCAAATATTACACACCACAGCTGAACCGACAGCCACGTCAGTGTACAGTGTACATCAGTCTGAGTGACACGGGTCATGTACTACTTTTTTTCCCTCCCAGAATTCCACATCTGGAGGTGGCTCATTTGGCAGACACAGAGGAAACCTGATGATTCCTGGGGTGAAGAGATCGGACGCAGGAGTTTACACCTGCCAGCTAACAGTGCTCATCAACGATCGGCTCTACAAAGTCAGCAGGGTCATTCTGCTGCAGGTTGAAGGTAGGAGCTACGCTAGTGTATATTACTGGAGATGTGAAAGTGTTCAATCAGCTCTTGGCTAAAGTGTTGATATTCATGTTGCACGGATTAAAAGAATAATGTTTTAGACAGAACAAACAATCTAATAGAGAATTATAAAATGTTATTAAATATTTTTTAAATTTATTTAAAAATTAATTTAGTTTTTTTTTTTTAATTGTGGCATTGTTCACCTAGGAGGGAATAGGCAAACTAAGGCCTGGGGGCCGAATGTGGCCTGTTCAGCTTTGTAATTATATAATTGGTTTGTATTATGATTATAGTCTGCCTTTTCCCTGCAATATAGATGGCATAGAAAAGGCTAAAAGCATTTTAGCATTTTAGCCATTATACATGTCATTTATCTTAGTGCACACGAACGCTCCATCTATCTGCTCCTGACCCGCCCCGTTCAATTTTAGGACCAATTGTGGCCAAGTGTTTGTCCATGCCCGACCTAGAGCAATAAGTTAGCTTGTTTTGCCCTCTACTGGCCAAATAAAGAAATCACATCATCTAAACTGTAAAAAAAAAGAAGCTAATTTTCTCATCAATTGTAGTGCGGGAGAGTAAACACCATCACGTGATTGTGTAACAGTGTGTCAAAAGTTTTGTTCTTATCACTTACTTTCAGTACTTGTTTTTGAGGATTAGTATCTTTAAATCTCTCTCTGTCAGGTTCAGACCCAGAACTGACAACCATGTCCGACCCCTCTGTGACCTCTGACCCTGAGCTAATCGACACTACACCTAGCAGTGAGTTTTTGTGTAGACAAAAAAAAAACACTCTTAAATGTTGACATTCTAATCAAATGTATTTATTATGCATCAATTGTTGTCGTCTCTGTTGCAGTATTTAAACCCCCTGTTATTATTTCACCACTGAATGGAACCCTTTTTCAAAGTGCCCCCGGTGAGTGATCCTGGTACTTACAAGACATCAACTGTTGATAACATTAATATTGAATGTAATTCATACATCAACATTGTTAGGGTCAGGAGTGGTGCTGTACTGTGATGTGCTCACCGAATGCGAAATGGCCGACTCTACTATGGTCACTTGGCTCATAAAAGGCCAACCAGTGGAGCTGTCGTACCTGGATGAGCGAGCCCTGCAGGGGGGAAGGAGGTAATGCGGATTCTTTTTTTTTTTTTTTAAGTAAACTAATATGTGAAACTGTAATGATACGATTGTCATACATGACACTTTCCAGCGTGACCAAAGTGCCAGGGCTCTGCCAGGTTCAACTGAGGCTTCTTATTGTCAGAGTGACGGGAGAAGACCGGGGAACAGAAGTCAAATGTGTTGCTCAGAACCAAGGTGGCAGACAGGAAGTAGCAGCACAGCTTCAGCTGGAAGGTAAGTTTATTGAAGCATATGTATTATGTCCTAGATTTGATCAAGTGAAGTACATTAAAGTAAAGCAAAACATAGTAATGTAAACCAAAGTAAAGTAAAGCAAACTAAAGTACAGCAAAGTAAAATAGAGCAAGGTAAAGTGAAACATAGTTAAGTACATTAACGTAAAGCAAATTAAAGTATGTACTTTAATTTGCTTAACTGTAATGTACTTAACTATTCTTTAAAGTATTTAAAATATTAATAATATAGTATTTTAAAGTATTTGCTTTAAAAGTAAAGTGCTCTGGTTTACATGACTTTAATTTAATTTGCTTTACTTTAATGTACTTTGCTTTGCTCTACTTTACTTTGCTTTACTTAACTGTGCTTTGGTTTACTTAGCTTTACTTTTCTGTACTTTAATTTAATGTACTTTCATGTACTTTACTATGTTTTACTTTACTTTGCTTTGGTTTACATTACTTTAATTTACTTTGCTTTACTTTAATGTACTTTGCTCTACTATGTTTTACTTTAGTTTGCTTTTCTTTGTGTTGGTTTACATTACTTTACTTTGCTTTGGTTTACTTAGCTTTACTTTGCTTTACTTCACTGTGCTTTGGTTTACTTAGCTTTACTTTTCTGTACTTTAATTTAATGTACTTTCATGTACTTTACTATGTTTTACTTTACTTTGGTTTACTTTACATTGCTTTGGTTTACTTTGCTGTACTTTAGTTTGCTTTACTTTGCTTTACTTCACTGTGCTTTGGTTTACATTACTTTAATTTATTTTAATGTACTTTGCTTTGGTTTACTTAGCTTTACTTTGCTTTACTAACGTAAAGCAAAGTAAAGTAGAAAAAAGCAAAGTACATTAAAATAAATTAAAGTACAGCAAAGTAAAGCAAAGCAATGTAAAGTGAAGTAAACCAAAGCAAAGTAAAGTAAAGTAATGTAAACCAACACAAAGTAAACCAAACTAAAGTAAAACATAGTAGAGCAAAGTACATTAAAGTAATGTAAACCAACACAAAGTAAACCAAACTAAAGTAAAACATAGTAACGCAAAGTACATTAAAGTAATGTAAACCAACACAAAGTAAAGCAAACTAAAGTAAAACATAGTAAAGCAATGTAAAGTAAACCAAAGTAAATGAAATTAAAATCAAATTAAATCAAATTAAAATAAATGAATTAAAATAAATCAAATTAAAGTACGTTAAAGTAAAGCAAAGTAAAATAGAGCAAAGTAAAGTGAAACATAGTTAAGTACATTAAAGTGCTCTGGTTTACATTACTTTAATTTACTTTAATGTATTTTGCTTTGGTTTACTTCACTTTACTTTACTTAACTGTGCTTTGGTTTACATTACTTTACTTTGCTTTACTTTAGTAAAGCAAAGTAAAGTAAAACATAGTAAAGCAAAGTACATTAAAGTAATGTAAACCAAAGCAAAGTAAAGCAAAGTAAATTAAAGTAATGTAAACCAAAGTAAAGCAAAGTAAAGTAAAATAATTTAAAGTACAGCAAAGTAAACCAAAGCAATGTTAAAGTAAAGCAAAGCAAAGTACATTAAAGTAAAGCAAAATTAAAGTGCTCTGGTTTACATTACTTTAATTTATTTTAATGTACTTTGCTTTGGTTTACTTAGCTTTACTTTGCTTTGCTTTACTAAAGTAAAGCAAAGTACATTAAAGTAATGTAAACCAAAGTAAAGCAAACTAAAGTACAGCAAAATAAAGTAAAACATAGTAAAGTAAAGTAAACCAAAGCAAAGTACATTAAAGTAAAGCAAAATTAAAGTGCTCTGGTTTACATTACTTTAATTTATTTTAATGTACTTTGCTTTGGTTTACTTAACTTTACATTGCTTTACTTTAATGTACTTTACTATGTTTTACTTTACTTTGCTTTACTTTAGTAAAGCAAAGCAAAGTAAAGCTAAGTAAACCAAAGCAAAGTAAAGCAAACTAAAGTACAGCAAAGTAAAGTAAAACATAGTAAAGTACATTAAAGTAAAGCAATGTAAAGTTAAGTAAACCAAAGCAAAGTACATTAAAGTAAAGCAAATTAAAGTACATTAAAATAAATTAAAGTAATGTAAACCAGAGCACTTTAATTTGCTTTACTTTAATGTACTTTGCTTTGGTTTACTTTACTTTACTATGTTTTACTTTATTTTGCTGTACTTTAGTTTGCTTTACTTTGCTTTGGTTTACTTAGCTTTACTTTGCTTTGCTTTACTAAAGTAAAGCAAAGTACATTAAAGTAATGTAAACCAAAGCAAAGTAAAGCAAAGTAAATTAAAGTAATGTAAACCAAAGTAAAGCAAACTAAAGTACAGCAAAGTAAAGTAAAACATAGTAAAGCAAAGCAATGTAAAGTAAAGCAAAGTACATTAAAGTAATGTAAACCAAAGTAAAGCAAACTAAAGTACAGCAAAATAAAGTAAAACATAGTAAAGTAAAGTAAACCAAAGCAAAGTACATTAAAGTAAAGCAAATTAAAGTACTAGTAATGTAAACCAGAGCACTTTAATTTGCTTTACTTTAATGTACTTAACTATGTTTCACTTTACTTTGCTCTGGTTTACTTTGCTGTACTTTAGTTTGCTTTACTTTGCTTTGGTTTACATTACTTTATTGTACTTTGCTTTACTAAAGCAAAGCAATGTAAAGTACATTAAAGTAATGTAAACAAAAGTAAAGCAAACTAAAGTACAGCAAAGTAAAGTGAAACATAGTAAAGTACATTAAAGTAAAGCAAAATCAAGTAATGTAAACCAAAGCAAAGTAAAGCAAACTAAAGTACAGCAAAGTAAAGTAAAACATAGTAAAGTACATTAAAGTAAAGCAAATTAAAGTACATTAAAATAAATTAAAGTAATGTAAACCAGAGCACTTTAATTTGCTTTACTTTAATGTACTTAACTATGTTCTAGTTTACTTTGCTCTATTTTACTTTGCTGTACTTTAGTTTGCTTTACTTTTGTTTACATTACTTTAATGTACTTTACATTGCTTTGCTTTAGTAAAGCAAAGTACAATAAAGTAATGTAAACCAAAGCAAAGTAAAACATAGTAAAGAGGAGCAAAGCACAGTTAAGTAAAGCAAACTAAAGTACAGCAAAGTAAAGTGAAACATAGTAAAGTACATTAAAGTAAAGCAATGTAAAGTGAAGTAAAGCAAACTAAAGTACGTTAATGTACAGCAAAGTAAACCAAAGTAAAGTACAGCAAAGTAAAATAGAGCAAAGTAAACTAGAACATAGTTAAGTACATTAAAGTAAAGCAAATTAAAGTGCTCTGGTTTACATAACTAGTACTTTACTTTGCTTTACTTTAATGAACTTTGCATCGGTTTACTTCACTTTACATTGCTTTGCTTTACTTAACTGTGGTTTCCTCCTCTTTACTTTACTATGTTTTACTTTACTTTAGTAAATTAAAGTTATGTAAACCAAAGCAAAGTACATTAAAGTAAAGCAAAGTCAAGTGCATTAAAGTAGAGGAGAGCAAAGCACAGTAAAGTAAACTAAGTAAACCAAAGCAAAGTAAAACATAGTAAAAGTAAAGCAAAGCAAAGTACATTAAGTAAAGCAAATACAATTAAAGTAATGTAAACCAAAGCAAAGTAAACTTAAGCAAACTGAAGTACAGCAAAGCAAAGTAAAACATAGTACAGTAAACCAAAGTAATGTGCATTAAAGCAAAGTACATGAAAGTAAAGCATAATAAAATACATTAAAATAAATTAAAGTAATGTAAACCAGAGCAAAGTATCCATCCATTTTCATCCGCTTATCCGATACTGGGTCACGGGGGCACCGTACCAACCGCCCTAACCGGGATTCGAACTTGCCCAGGAGGTGAACTCTGGGGTTCCACACCAATGACAGAGACATTGCCTCTGGGCCAAAGCGCCAGTAAAGTAAAGTAAAGCAAACTAAAATAGAGCAAAGTAAAGTACATTAAACCAAAGCAAAGTACATTAAAGTAAACCAAAGCAAAGTAAAGCAAACTAAAGTACAGCAAAGTAAAGTAAGCCAAAGCAAAGTAAAACATAGTAAACTGAAGCAAAGCAATGTAAAGGAAAGTAAAGCAAAGCAAAGTACATTAAAGTTAAGCAAATTAAATTAAAGTAATGTAAACCAAAGCAAAGTAAACTAAAGCAAACTTAAGTACAGCAAAGTAGGGCAAAGCAAGTAAAACATAGTAAAGTGAAGCAAAGCATTGTAAATTAAAGAAATGTAAAGCAAAGTAGAGTTAAACATAGTAAAGTAAAGCAAACAAAAGTAGAGCAAAGTAAAGTAAAACATAGTAAAGTAAAAACCTTATAATGTTTGTGCCTACCCAGTTATTAATGCCCAAATAGGAGCATTAATTAACAAAACAGCTTCATTAAAACACATTTGTTGTTCGGTTAAAATATCACAGTGAATAGTTAGAAATTGAAAGTTAGCCCCAATGTAGCTACAGCGTGACATAGCAGATATATAGAAGCTCTAAACAACTGTTTAAAGTTAGCTGAGAGGCAAAATGTAGATAACTTAGAAATGTAGCACAGACGCTAAATCTAACCTAAGTAGAAAACTAGCCAAAGCTAGAGTAAAATAGCTTAAATGTCTGTGCAGGTTCTTAGTCATCCAGGTCATTTAACCCAAAAATAGTTACATCGAGGGCAACTGGACGAAGTAGGTTTGTTGAAGACGTTTCACCTCTCATCCAAGGGGCTTCTTCAGTTCTGTGAAATTGTGGTTTTTAGCCTCAAAGGGGGCTGCAAACCTGTAACGAGGGCTGTTGCAGAAAGGGGGGATGGAGGTGTGGTGGACCACACCCTATTATAAGGAGGGTGGAATGTAAAGGTCCTGTCTGAATGTAGAAAACCGTCAGATCTTTGTTTTAATATATCTACTATCAAGACTGATTTCTCTGTTGGACAAGCACCAGTCGTTGACTTTCGTTTTTTTCCTCTCCTCCGCTCCTTGCAGACTCCTCCTCCACGTGGGTGGTTGTAGCTGCCGTTGCTGTTTCCTGTTTCGTTGTGGTGGCCTCCATCGTCCTCTATGTTCTCCTCAAACCTAAGAGGAACAACAGAAAGGATTACATCCTAGCTCGACAGAGCAGTACCTTCTAACCCTCCTTGTGAACAAACAGCTTCCCTTCCCTGCTTGGTGACATCACCACAGCGTCGGGTTGACCATAATGGACACTGGTAACCTTTCAGTTGACCTCAGCCCCCTGGATGTTTACATCAAGTTCCAGGGATCGTTTTCATTTGCATTCACCTTTTCTTTTTTTTAGATGTTATTAACTGTACTTTGTGAGCAATGTTTACATCCACCTGGGCGAACTCCAATGCCTAAGCAAGCACGCCCTCTGCTGGCCTATCTGTGCTTAGACCCAGCATAAGACAGTAGATTTCCATCTGATGATTAAAAGAGTGATCCTAATAAATCTACACTAATTAAGACATGATTATATATAGTTATATTTAAATCTGCCTGAATTTCCTCAGAATAACTGATAACTGAACCAGGAGAGCAGCTGCTCCACTGATTCTACAGCTAATATTCAACATTTTAATACATTCAAAAGTAGCTAATTTCAGCATTTTTTGTAGAATTTTGAGGGCCGACTGGTGGGAAATAAGTTCAATCATCACCGGTCTTTCAAAGACCCTGCAAAGTAATGAGCAATAGAAAATCGAACTGTTTCACTGTGGTTCTTGACACAGAGAGCCACCAGGGGGTACACTCGCTTATGCAGCTGTGACTACGTGTCAATACCTCCCACAGCAACTTCAAAGTATTCTTAAATATGCTTCCAAAATGTAAACATAGTGTACGAGTGAGACTAAGTTTTAAAAAATATAGACGTCACCTGAAAGGCACCTCCAGCAGCTCCCGCTGTTCACACGTTTACATTTCTTCATCCTCAGCTCTCTGACACAACAGGGGTTTTTGTCACATCAGTTGTGACATTGACAGGCCTCCATCGCAGATGTTGTTTTTGTCACGCAGGTATCTGGTCTGTTGTGACATAAAGAAACGGTAGAAAGGTCTTACAAGAACGTTAAAAGGTCCTTAAACATGTTGTGCAAACATCAATTTGGCCAGATTTAACCCAAGTCGATGCAATGATCAGATTCTAAGATATTAGCGTCATTGTGGAACAGTACTACAGTAAATCTATCATCACAAAAACAGTTTAAATTTCACACAACACAGGAGCTGCTGCTGCTGTTGCCACATCTGTGGAGTTTGTGATTTCTTAAGAAGACATTTGAACACAAGTGGAAAGAATATGGTATTTCAATTCAACATCTGGGTTTTATTATATGCACATGTTTTTTAAAGGTCTGTCATATTTTTCACCAAAACATGCTGCCAAGTAAATACTTTGTGCTAAAAACTTCACAAACTATTATATCTGAACTTTTCAAAATATCACAAAATAGAAGCAAGACTGTAGTCTTACTATCACGTATGTCACGACCCTAGTCTTAGGACATGTGTCGTGTGATAGTGTTTTGTGTGGGACCTGAAGTGTTTTTGCAGACTCCCCTGTCTGCAATCAATGTGTGTGGGTGTGTGAGTTTATGTCACGCAGGGCCACATAACAGGGAAACTGGGAGTAGATGTGCTCTGTGTGTTTTACTACATGTACGTAGTAGCTGAATGGAGAAGTGAGAACCTTTATTTTCGTTAGTGGAGGAAAGCTCAGGGTCCTTTTAGTTTTTGTTTGTTGTGTTGGCCATCTTTCTCAATTCTGAGCAAAATAAAATGCTACTGTAAAAACTATAAAATCTTGGACTTGGCCACCTTCTTTAGGATGAGAAGAGAGGGGTGGGGAGGCTAAAAATCATGTTACATAATAGTTAACCTAAATTGGGGATGTAAAAGGAAAAGTAAAAATGAAAAATCAGCCAAAACATGCCTTA